CTGATTTTTCTGAAATCTGTTTTCTTGTTTTGGACAAAATTCAGAGTTTGAATTGGATCTAAGTGCTTCTGGATTTTGAATATTATTTGGGTTTCTCCACGAAAAATTATTCCCCCAATTAGGATTATAAGAATTAGAAAAATATTCCCTATTTTTACTAAAATCGTGGGGTACCTGCACTTGTTCTTGTCTAGGATGATATTGAAATTCGAAATGATCATTTTCACCATACATAGGATCTGTACTATTTGAATTAAATTGAGGGTTAAGAGGCTTTCTAATATTGTCAATAAGCAAATAAAGTTTTTCTAATCTTTGATTAATCTGATTAACCTCATTTCTAAATTTAGATTCATTATCATGATGCAATTCATAAATTCCTCTCTTCTTATCCCTGTCATATAATTCAAAAGAGGCTTGATCTCTACAATTTTCACTTAAATTCTCATAAAGACTGTAAATCTCATCAGGGGTTTTCTCCATAAAAGCTCCTCCACATATAGAATCAACCATATTTCTATGTTGTTCTAATAATCCATCATAAAAAATTATATTGAGCTGCCACTTGGGTATAGAATGATGAGGACACTTTCTAAGTAAATCTTTGAATGTTTCCCATGTCTCATGTAAAGTTTCTCCTGGTCTTTGAGAAAAACTCCATATATGTTTTCTCATATTTTGAGTTTTTTTTAAGGGATAAAATTTTCGAAGAAAGGCCTGTTCTATGTCTTTCCAGCTAGTTAATTCTATATCTAACGTGGATAGCCAATGGCTAGCTTTGTCCCTAAGTGTATGAGGAAATAATTTCATCTTAATAATTTCCGGTGTAACTTGAGGGAGATTAACTAAATCACAGACCATATGAAATTTTTCTAAGTGCTGATGAGGTTCTTCTAAAGGCAATCCATGAAAATTAGGGAGCATTTGAAAAATTCTTGGATTTATTTCAAATTTAACATTCGGTGCTAATAGGACTCTAATATTGGATGCTCTTTGAAATGAATCAGGGATATAATAATTTTTCATGGCCATAGGATTGTTCTCAATTTGACCTGTACTTCCTTTAGGATCTATCAAAATTAATTTTTCTTTCGGATTTTTATTTTTGAATGAAATAATGAAAGGATTTTCTAGCCTTGGATGCAAGGATCTTCTACCATGCATAAAAATCAATAAATTCGAGGGAAAAATTTAGTAATTGTTACCCTCCTTCAGGATGCTCCAGTCCTTGCCTTGCTTCTCTTCGTTCCCTTTTTCTAAAAAAAATCAGCAAAAAGAAAATAAAACAAGAGTTAAATTTTTTGTGTACTCTAAGAGAAAAACAGAAAAATACTAAATATTATGCAATACATCCCCGGCAACGGCGCCAAAATTTGACGTGACCTAGTCGTTGTATATTAAATCATGCAAATATAAAATTTATAAAACTAGAAAATACGACTTTTCAGATATTTAGAAGTATTTCTGAACAAATATATCAATTATAATTCAATTAAACTTCCAAAAATAGCGGTAATTTTCCAGGTCGATCACAGGGATGTAATATAATATCTGGTAATTATTCAGAATGTTTCTCAATGAATACAATTTTCTATGAATTTTATACTAGGAAATAAAAAGGAAATATATTTAAAATTCACGAAAAAGGGAAATAAGGGCGCGTACGTCAGGATGACGTCAGTGCCCGGCGAATGCGAATCGAGCGGAAACAGAGTTCTGCCCGGCGATTCTTACGTAAGCGATTATAAATGATTTAATTAATCAAATTAAGATCTGTAAAAGCCAGAAGAATCGTAATAGAACAAAATATATTTTGGTAAATTAAAATCACAAAGAAATATCACTAAATGAAGTGTAAAGTAAGTTTAAAGCAGGAAAACAGAGTTCCGACGTCGCGACGGCGATGCGTCGGTGATGCACTGGAATCCTAAGCATTCGGGAGGATCGTCGTGCAGTGTCCACGGCCTCGAAGGCTCTCCTTGGACAAAGACAACGTGGGCAATCTCTAGATCTTCTCGCGAAGTCTAGAGATTAATGGAATGGGTCGTCGAGTCGTCTCCGGCGGCAGTCACCCGGCGGAGCAGAAAAACGGCGACTTTGCGGTTCTCTGACAGCTGTCACCCGATGGAGAGGAGCTAGATGGAGGTGGGGCGCATGTCAGGGAGCTTCATCCTCAGGTCCGCGCAGCAAGAAGAGGCTCTTCATCACATCTGGTACGCTCTCAGGAGGTGGCGACTCGTCTCCCGGCGGATCGTCCTCTTCCCGACGACGGCTTGTTCGTCGATCAATCGGAGATGATTTACTCGATGGATTCGCGATCCTTTTATCGCAAATCGTTCAGCAATTTTAGTAGCAATGCTCCGCGAATCGCGTTGACGAGATTTTCGCCGATGATCCAGCGATTCTGGTTGCTTAATCTTTCACCGACGATCTGCAGGAAAGTCGCGATAATCAGATAAAAATATATGAATTTTGACTCTGAGAAGATTCAAACCCGCGCCGGTTGTCCGCCCCTTCTGAGAAAGGTGTGATGCGGGTTTAGTCCCACATTGGTTGTGTGCCAATTTTTCAGGCGAATATATAGTAATGTTAGCTTTCTTAGCAAAGTCCCTTCTCTCGCATGTACGACCAATCCTTGCCCCACAGTCGGCTGGCCACCAGTGACGTGGAAGGGGAGTGGCGCACACATGCCCCTATCGGTCCAAGCCGCTCAAGCCCCTACTCGCGGCTACTCCCCGACTGAGCTTCCGACCCGCTTGTGGGCCCGGCTGGCCGGCGGGTCCCCCCCATTTTGTAATATTTTAGTTTTATTTCTTTTTCTTCATTTATCTCAAAAGTAAGACTGTAAAAATCATATAAATTCGTATAAAATCACATAATTACCCAAAAAATCACATTAATCAACTGAAAACCACTTTCCACACTTTAACACAAATATAAGTCTATTTATCATGAGTTAAGGCTAAAACTATATTATTTACTAATTATTAACTCATGATAATGAAGACTTATCAGTGCCTCTGAGCACATTCTTCGGAGATAGATGCCACTAGTGCCTCTCGGCATGGTGGCGTAGGGCTGCCTCTTGGCAGGCTGTTTTTTGGAGGGTGCCTCTTGGCACATTGTTGGTGAGATGGATGCCACATGTGCCTCTCGGCATGGATGCACACATGTACCTGGGGACTTCTCAGGGAGAGGTCACCCATTCGGGGACTGCTCCCACCCAAGCACACTTAACTTCAGAGCACTTCTCCGATGGTTTAGGGCTTAGGGTTTTATTTTTTTTTGTTTTTTTTGAGATAACTGTCTTGGGCCAAACTTCTCAAGAGGTCACCCATCATGGTACTTCACACACCCAAGCACTTTGGTGCCTCTGAGCACATTCTTCGGAGATAGATGCCACTAGTGCCTCTCGACATGGTGGCGTAGGGCTGCCTCTTGGCAGGTTGTTTTTCAGAGGGTGCCTCTTGGCACATTGTTGGTGAGATGGATGCCACATGTGCCTCTCGGCATGGTGGCAGGGGTGCCTCTCGGCACGTTTTTTGGAGCTGGTGGCGTCTTGGCATGGTGAGATGGTTGCCACATATGCCTCTCGGCATGGTGGCAGGGGTGCCTCTCGGCACGTTCTTCGAAACTCGAAGCATCTTGGCATGGTGTTGGAGGGGTTCGTAACACGTACCTTGGGACTTCCCAGGGAGGTCACTAATCCGGTGACTGCTCCCACCAGAGCACGCTTAACTCCGGAGTTCTTATGGGATCCGGTGGCAACTCTCCCACTTAGGGGGGTTGTTTAGGGTTTAGGGTTTAGGGTTTTTTTTTTATTATTATTATTTTTATTTATTTATTGGGATAACTGTCTTGGGCCGAACTTCTCGGGAGGTCACCCATCCCGGTACTTCACATGCCCAAGCACTTTGGTGCCTCTCAGGCACATTCTTCGGAGATAGATGCCACATATGCCTCTCGGCATGGTGGCAGCAGTGCCTCTCGGCACGTTCTTTGGAGCTTGGGGCGTCTTGGCACGGTGAGACAGATGCCACATATGCCTCTCGGCATAGTGGTAAGGGGTGCCTCTCGGCACGTTCTTTGGAGCTTGGGGCGTCTTGGCATGGTGAGACAGATGCCACATATGCCTCTCGGCATAGTGGTAAGGGGTGCCTCTCGGCACGTTGTTCGGAGCTGGGGCGTCTTGGCATGATGAGATGGATGCCACATATGCCTCTCGGCATGGTGGCAGGGGTGCCTCTCGGCACGTTCTTTGGAGCTGGGGGCATCTTGGCATGGTGAGATGGTTGCCACATATGCCTCTCGGCATGGTGGCAGGGGTGCCTCTCGGCACGTTCTTCGAAACTCGAAGCATCTTGGCATGGTGTTGGAGGGGTTTGTAAGACGTGCCTAGCGGCACGATAATGCAGCGGTGCCTTTCAGCACATGCACAGCAAGCGTCTCGCAACGCATGCACACGTACCTTGGGACCTCCCAGGGAGGTCACCCATCCGGTGACTGCTCCCACCTGAGCACGCTTAACTCCGAAGTTCTTATGGGATCCGGTGGCAACTCTCCCACTTAGGGGGGTTGGTTTAGGGTTTAGGATTTTTTTTTTTTTTTTTTAAATTATTATTATTATTATTTTTTTTTGCATTGGGCTGAAAGAGCCTTTGAGTTCATGAAAGGTGGAAAATCTTTTCAACAGTAGTAGGACGTGTAGACCTCCATGTTGTGCGCCATGAGGTGTTCCTGCAAGAGAAGAGTTTGCTGCAGTAAGTGGTTCTAAGAAATAAATAATATGATATAAAGTGGTGAGAAAATAGTTGTTAGGGCAGTGAGGAAGATAGAACTATGCTAGAGTATGACAATAAGCCCAAATATGAATTTGCCTTCCTAGTGTTGCACGCGTCTAATCCCTCTAGCTAAGATCTTGTTAGTACCATCAGTTGCCGTACTTCCTCTAAGTAGGTAAGGGACCTTTCACCCCACGAGGAATGACTTGGTCTCTTTTTCTAACTCTTTTCTTTTCTCTTATTCTCTCTCTCTTCTTTCTCTCTCCTTGAGGGCCTCTTCTTTTACCCTCCACTAATGCCCATTATTTGGTGTACAAGGGTAATTCCCTTTGGAATATTAGGCTAGTGATTAGGGGAAGGGAAGTCGGTTACCCCCTTTTTCTTTTTTTTTTTCTTTTTTTTTTTTTTTTTTTGAGGGCCTTGTCCCTCACCCTCCACTAATTGTCTATGATGGGCTAGTGATTTCGGGAAAAGAACTAGGCTGTCTCTTTTTTTTTTTTAAGAGAGAGAAAGGGAGGGAGAAAGAGATAGAGAATCGAGAGAGAGAGAGAGGAGAGAGGGTCAATCCTATGGATATAGATCCTTACCTTCTCATGGGTTCAAGCTGGCTGATGGTACTGATGAGATCTTGAGAGAGGTGCTAGGTTGGCGATTCACAACTAGTTTAGCAGGTCTGATGTGCTATAGACCTATAGTTCAAAAGTGGGCAGATGCCAACATGTGCTGATAGTTTTATGTCCTCAGTACTTGAGGGTGATAGATAGTAGATGTGAGGTGATTATGAGGAGAGTAATGATTGGAAGTAGTGTACCCGAGTGGATTACGATGTGCCTTGTTGTCCGTCTTATGTTGTATCTCCATTGTGGTCTTCAGCGGCCAATAGTAACCACCCTTGATCTCCTCCAAGCGATACGCCACTACCGTGGAGGGGTCGGTAGTGGAGTGCGGTGTATGCGTAAAGAGGGTATGCCGAGTCGCTCAAGTCTATGAGCACCTCGAGCTTCGAGGGGCATGTCCTGCCAAAAAGAGAAGACTGTCCTCCGACACGATCTGACTCCATGCGTAGCAAGGGCGTCGGCTGTCTGATTCCCTTCTCGGAACTGATGCATAATGGTTGTGATGCGTCCTTGACATCGCATGATGTTTGCCCAGATATTCTTGAGCCTCCAATGAGGACAAGAGTCTGCACGTAACATGTCCACTAACACTTTAGTAATATTAGTAATATTAGTAATATTAGTAATATTTTGCTCCTCACAAAGAAGCAAACCATCCCGTATTGTCATAGCCTCTACCACAGTATTAGTTCATATATTATAAAAGTTCGAAAAGGCAAAGAGAATGCATCCTGTACTATCGCGTAAGATACCTCCTCCTCCAGACGGTCCTGGGTTGCCTTGAGATGCTCCGTCGACGTTGAGTTTCCACCGTCCAGCCCTCGGTGGTGTCCATCTAACAGATCGGATAATAGTCCAGGTCTGTGTAGGTATGATATGGAGTCCCCAAAGCCCAAAAGCCTCACAAACAGAACGCGAGCGTTTCGTTTTGTTTGGCACTAAGGAATGAGTACTCCGAAGCCATTGTGTTACGTGCCTCATAATCTCTGTGGCACGCATCACTTGGCCTGCAAATCGAGATGAGTTACGTCCCTTCCATATTTCCCATAACATATATGCTATGGAGATACGGATGAAGGGACTAACCTTGACACTCGTCGGTGAGTCAATGACTCTCCTAAAGACCTCTAGTGGTGGTCTCGTAGGTCTGTACGAGAGCATTGGAAGCCAATTCGCTAGAAGTTGACTCCAACACTCGACAGCGATATCACTATGGAAAAATAGATGTTCCATACTTTCGTCCGTCGTGATGGAGCAACAATGACATCTCCTTTCCACCTCCTGATCGGTGACAATCACTCGATCGTCGGTGGGTAGTCCTCGGTGCATGAACTTCCATAGGAAGAACGAAACACGAGGTGTGATGGCTGGATGCCATATGAGATTTCCCCAAAATGTCTTTGGGGAGCGGTTTCTAAAGTGCTCCCAAGAGGAGCTACAAGAGAAATTGCCATCTATGGTAAGTGTCCAGATGGGTTGGTCCTCAGTAAAACTCGTCTCAGTCATGGTGATGGCTGGTAACAAGTCTGACGGTAGTCCATGCCTCTCAATAAGTAGACGAGTGTCTCCTTGGAGAAGCTGGGCTACCGTCAAGCGAGGCCAAGAGGATGTGAAAGTGGTAAAACAGGCCAATGGTGTGTCCTCTAGCCAAGTGTCGTACCAGGCACTGATCGCACCTCGCCCCACTCGCCAACGAATAAGGGGCACCATCTCCAACCAATGTCGCTGCCAGTCTGCCCATCGTTTGACTCCTTTGATGTCGGCCGGCTGTCGGGCCCACTCACCATATTTGGCTGACACAAAAGAGCCTAGCACCGATGGTGTGGTCCTCATCCTCCAAACGAGTTTCTTTTGAAGCATGTTGAGTACATCTTGAGGGCGCCTAATACCTAGGCCACCCTCATCCGTAGGTCGACATGCTTTCTCCCAAGAAACTCGGCGTTGGCGACGAGGTCCCTCAAGTTGTCCATCCCAAAGGAAGGACGTGCATATCCGTCTAATAGACTGTAAGACGGTGTCTGGTACCTCATGGACTACCAAAAGGTGTAATGGCATGCTCATGAGGACATGGCGTATCAACTGGATCCGTCCTCCAGGGGATAGAAGCTGTATCTTCCATCCTGCTAGTTTCTTCCTCAACTTGCCCACTAGGGCGTCAAAATAGTGTATGCGCCTACGGCCGAGGAAGATAGGACATCCTAGATAGTCAAAAGGTAAGTGTCCACGAGAGAACCCCGTTAGGCCCTGGATGCGTCGTATGGTCCCTATGGGGGTAGAAGGGCCTACCATGAAGCTACTCTTCGAGGCATTTACGAGTTGACCTGCAGCTCGCTCATACCTCGAGATAATACTCATGAGCCCTCTAATGGATGTCTCACATCCATTGAGGAAGAGTATCGCATCATCAGCAAAGAGGGAGTGTGAGATGATCGGACAACCCCTCTTCGAGTAGTATGGTCGGATAAGTCCTTGATTGATCGCTCGAGTGAGGGATCGACTGAGGACTTCTTCGACTAAGATGAAGAGGGTGGGTGATAGTGGATCGCCCTGTCGTAGACCTCTTGTGGCCGTGAAGAATGGTGTGGAGCTACCGTTCACCAATAAAGAGAAATGATTCTCCCTAACACATGCATCAACTAAGTCAATGAAGTCGTCGGTGAACCCAAAGCATCTAAGAACCTTAATGAGGAAACTCCACTCTATCCTATCAAAGGCCTTCTCCATGTCTAATTTGATGATGATGTTGGAGCCTCGATAGTCATGGCCAAGGGACTGTGCTAGTTCATGTACTAGCATGATGTTATCGTGAATGTACCGTCCCTTGACAAATCCGCATTGCTCTGGAGATATAAGTCTATCAAGGAAACTACTCAATCTACATGTAACGATCTTAGATACAACTTTATAACACACGTTACATAAACTGATAGGTCGAAAGTCTCTAAATGAGGTTGGGGTAGTCACCTTCGGTATAAGTGCAAGGAAGGTGGCCTTCCAACTTCGTGTAAAGACTTTACGACGAAAGATTTCCCTGATAGCCTGGATGAGATCAGTGCCAACGATATCCCAACATGAAATGTAAAAATCAGCTGGGAAACCATCGGGCCCGGGTGCACGATGTCTGCTCATAGAGAAAACTACTTCCTTGATCTCTTCTCCCGTGGGTATGGCCATCGTGAGAGAGCTCTCATGGTGAGTGACCAATGATGGGATCGAAGTGAGCATATCATCAGAAATCTCAATCGGCTGAGAGGTTAAGAGAGTACGAAAGTACTCAACCCCTGCCTCCTGCATGCGGGAAAGGTCCTGATCATATGTCTCTAAAAGAGAGGTATAATCTGAACGTGAGCGGTGAGCGACCGAGGCATGAAAGAAACGAGTGTTTCTATCACCCTCTTGTAACCACTGGATGCGTGATTTCTGGAGATAGAATAACTCCTGTCGTCGCACAACCTCATCAAGCTGGTCGCTCACTCTACTCCTCCTTTCCCAAGCAGCATCTGAATATCTAGCTTGCAGTAGTCTTTCAACCTCTGCTAACTCTTTTTGCAATGCATCAACCTGGGTATGGACATTCCCATAGATATGTCGGTTCCACCATTTAAGGTGGAGTTTGAGATTCCTTAACCTATAGCTAAGGTTCTCCATAGGAGAATCTGAGATATGTCCGTACCAGTGATTCCGTACGAAACTCTGAAAGTCTTCATGTTGGAGCCACATGATCTGAAATCTGAAGGGAGGTCTGTGGGTGCTCATACTCTATTTAGGGAGTATGAGGATCGGGGTGTGATCTGACCTATAACGGGGTAATATCGTGACTAATATGGGATGTCGCACCATGGCGATGTTGTTGATGAAACAACGATCGATACGCTCATAAATCAAAGCGTCCCCTCGATTGTTGCTCCACGTCCATGCCTCGCCTGATGTAGGTGGCTCAATAAGAGCTAATCGAAAAATGCAGTCATTGAACGTCTCCATGTTACGGGCCCTAGGGATCCGCCCACCTTGACGTTCACTAGTATTACGAACACAGTTGAAGTCACCTGCTAGGTACCAAGGAGACTCAACTAGTGTAGGATAGTCCCTCACGTATTGAGCTAGGTCCGCCCAAAGAGTTTCCCTTTCTTCGGATCGATGTGATGCATAGATGACCGAGAAGGTGAACTCTTGGGTGAGATCTCGAACCGTCATAGTGATATGCTGGGGTCCCTCGACTAGCAAATCCATAGAGTATGGTCTAGTCCAAAAGAGCCAAATATGATTCGTGGGGTTGGAGTGAAAATGATCCATACCTAATCGCCTAAGTAAAGGTTGGATACGATCTGATGATATCATAGGCTCAATGAGGCCTACTATACCTAGGCGATACTGTCTGATAAGGTTAGCTATATAGAATTGGGTTTCGAGGTTACCTATACCTCGACAATTCCATATGATGCTAGGTATCATGATCTAATGAGTGGCCCCACGAGTCCTAGATCTCGTGGAGTAAGGTGAGCGTCTAGTGAGTCGTGTGGTCCTAGCCTCCGTCTGATATCCCTCCTCTAGGTAGGTAGTCTCAATGTCAGTCTCAGAGCCACCATCCTCATGGGTACTAGTCGTGTGGCCACTAGTATCATGAGCACTAGATGAGGAGGATGGGTGCGGTGCTTGACGATTCGTCAAGCACTGTCTTCTATCGGGGCTCTCTCTAGAATCAGCGGGTGGTGGATCAAGTATAGGAAACTGATCTGGCGGGTGTAGTGGGGGAGAGGGGGGGAAGGTATAAGAATCAAAACAAGGGGCTACATAAGATGTACTAATAGGAAGTATGCTGGGGGTAGGCCCTCCTAGTAGATCCTTGACGGGGATTTGAGGGGGATGAGTAGTGCCCAAGCCTATACCCTCGGAGAAAGGGGTAGACCTCGGTCGGTGGGGACTAAGAGGTGAAGGACTCCTGCTACGTGGGGAAGAGTGAATGGGCGGGGGGGAGCTGGGTGGTGGAGAGACACTAATGGGTGGAGTGGGGTGGGTGAGTATGGGGGGTCGGATAGCCCGGGGGGATCTAGTATGTGGGGTTTGACTAGGTGAGTCCCTCGTAGTGGGGGATGCTAGCCCTTTGGAAGGCCTAGTTCCCCTCTGTGCAAGTCCCTCAAAGTCTCTCTCATCTAAAGCCTCTAAGACCTCAAAGGTGTTTGAGGTTAGGGGTTTCTTTCCCTTGCCCAAAGGGGAAGGTGTAGCCTCTCGTGTTCCTTTCTTCCCCCCTGTGTAGATGGAAGAAGGGCGTCCAGCTGCCGGCTTTCGCCGTGCATGTTGTGTCTCAATCAATGAACTAGGCTTCTCCTGTGCCTTCCGAGGTAAGGAAGGTGGAGCCGCCATAGGGGCAATCGACCTCTGAGGATGACGAGCACTCTGAGCATCCTTTCTCATTTCGACGAGATAGTCGTCATATGAGATCGGTACTAAAAAGGCTCGTGTGGTCGCCTGTGGTGTACCTGCCTTCTGACGGCATGTGCTGACAGTGTGGCCCAAGATAGCACAATGTGTGCAGAAATATGGTAATCTCTCGTAAATGATAGGCTGATAAAGCTCCTCATCTCCACTACGTATAACGAAAGTCCTCTGTAGAGGGGCCATTAGGTCCACCTCTATACAAACTCGTGCATATCCTGGCCGGTTGAACATTTTTATGCCTGGGTCAAGGCATATGAATGTTCTCACCGCATTTGCCAAAGACTCAAGTGCCTTTGGCGTAAAAAAATGGGCAGGTAGGCCAGGGAAGCCCACCCATAATGGAACTGCATGGGATTGATGTGCTCGGTGCCCTATGTCGGTCTGTGGTGTCCATCTGTGGGTATAGAGGGTAGACTCCCCCATTGTCCAGGTGGGTCGGCTCCATGCTCGGCGATAATCCGCTTCTAGCTCAAAGCGGATGTATATGCTACGATAGTCTCGAGCTCCGATGGAGACTCGGCCCTGGAAATTTCCAGGTGCCAAGTAAATCTTCTCTATGTCACCTATGGTTGGTCGTTTCGTAGTGAAACGACCAACTAAGATATATTGGAATGCGGCTGCCATCTGGGAGACCTCCTCATAAGTAAAAGCTATTGTCCTCCTCCCATCATCCTCGCTATAGCTTCGCACTGGGACAGTGGTATCATAGAATGAGAATAGTACCTGACGCAACGGTTCCTGTGGTGTGACAGTCTTTGTGGAGGGGACAGAGGGTCCAGACACTCATTGCGCCCATGATAAGTGTCTAGTGGGCATAGTCGGGTTTGGCCTATGGGGCACAGTAGAGTCTAGCCCACTAGGTGTAGATATGGTGTGCCCAAGGGATGTGTTTGGGGCCAATACGGAGGTCTCAACTAGTGCTGGGATCCTAGTTGGTTCGAGGAGCTCAGTCTGAGAGAGCCTAAGGGCCCCTATAGGTAGAGGTAAAATCGGTTCAATCTGTTGACTCGGGGTAGGCCTAGAGGACGTGGCCGAGGGTGGACGTAAAAGTCGGCGTCCTATCTTCTTTTTGGGCCGCAGGCTCTTGCCCCTTACCTGGGCAAGAGCTTGGACCAGTGCAGCCTGAGCCGGCTGCTCAGGCTCGGCCTGGGCCACCTGGGCCTGGGCCGGTGCGTCCTGAGCCGGCGCAGCCTCGATGGGCTGGACCTGGGCCGGCTCAGCTCTAGCCACCTTGCCAGAATCTCGCACGGGCCGCGCCTGTACGGTGCCAGCTGAGCGGGGCTCGGCACGTGATGGCGCAGGGTTCCGTGCGATGCCATCGTCCGCGGTGTCTGACGTTGATGGCGTCAGTAGCGTCCCAGCCGAGGCATCGGCGATCGCAAAAGGTTGCGGCGCCTTTACGGCCACGTGATCCCCTCCGTTGATCTCAAGATCAACGGGTGGATCAAGTTGGCCTTTATGGCCGTGACCGTCCGAGGGCGGTGCCTCGGTAACGGCTGTTGAGGCCTTTATAGCCGGCTGATTCTGACCATTGATCATACGATCAATGGTTGGATCAGAGGGGGCCTCTTCGCCTGCCGTCGCCTCGTTCCCGGAAGGAGAATGGACGGCGTCAACTGCTGTCCCCTCCGATTCGGGCCTCGGGAAGACGCTAGCTGATGGCGAATCACGGACGTCCGTGGTTCGACCGTTCAGCTCATTTACGGCCGTCTCCTCGGTCACATCAACCGGCGGAGAGAGAAGGCGAGGACAGGAGGCCGTTACTGCTACGTGTCGGCCTTCTGTTCGCTCGCATTCATCGGGCGAGTTTTCATCTGGGCGACGGAGGTCACCCGATGAAATCTGTGAGCTACTCATCAGCTAAGCATCAAATAAAAATGATATAGAAGAGAAAATGGTAAACGAGGTCAATACGATTCTATTCAACTAAAAATAATGAAATTTCACCCAGTCAATAGAAAGATATTACCTTTGAAGTGAAAACTCCGGAAGTTTACCTTCGCGATGAGGTAATTGCGAAACAAAGGCTTTAATCCACGTTTTCGATGCGTAATAGCTCGAAACCGATAGTTGTCGGCCTTTCGAATCGAATGGAAAAGGTTTCAGCGCGATCTGAGGTCACACGAAGGAGATCTCACCATTTGCGCTGATCGTGAGGAGAGAGAAAAAAGTTGAGCAAATGCGGTGGGTTTTTTTTTTTTTTTTTTTTTTTTTTTTTTTTTTTTTTTTTTTTTTTTTTTTTTTTTTTTTTTTACATAAGTGGGATCTCATTCGCACAAGGGGCGAGGATGACATGAAGAATGAAAGACCTCTTTTGAAGAGGGGATGTGATGATACTAGAGATAGACTCCATGACGTTCATCATATTTGAGGAAGGTGATTGATTTGTAGTGGGTTGAAAAAGCCTTTGAGTTTATGAAAGTTGGAAGATCTGCTCAACAGGAGTAGGACGAGAGCTCCATGTTGTGCGCCATGCAATGTTCCTGCAAGACAAGAGTTTGCTGCAGTAAGTGATTCTAAGAGATAAATAAATTGATATAAAGTGGTGAGAAAAGAGTGATTAGGGCAGTGAGGAGGATAGAACTATGCTGAAGCATGACAATAAGCCCAAATATGAACTTGCCTTGCTAGTGTTGCACGCGCCTAATCCCTCTGGCCAAGATCTTGTTAGTATCATCAGTTGCCGTACTTCCTCTAAGTAGGTAAGGGACCTTTCACCCCACGAGGAATGACTTGGTCTCTGGTTCTAACTCTTTTCTTTTCTCTTATTCTCTCTCTCTTCTTTCTCTCTCCTTGAGGGCCTCTTCTTTTACCCTCCACTAATGCCCATTATTTGGTGTACATTAGGCTAGTGATTAAGGGAAGGGAAAAAGGTTGCCCTTTTTTTTTTTTTTTTTGTTTTTTGGTTTTAGGGCCCTTTCCCTCACCCTCCACTAATTGTCTATGATGGGCTAGTGATTCCGGGAAAAGAAGTAGGCTGTCTTTTTTTTTTTTTTTTTTTTTTTTTCCTAGAGAGAGAAAGGGAGGGAGAAAGAAATAGAGAATCGAGAGAGAGAGAGAGGAGAGAGGGTCAATCCTATGGATATAGATCTTTACCTTCTCATGGGTTCAAGCTGGCTGATGGTACTAATAAGATCTTGAGAGAGGTGCTAGGTTGCCGATTCACAACTAGTTTGGCAGGTCTGATGTGCTATAGACCTATAGTTCAAAAGTGGGCCGATGCCAACATATGCTGATAGTTCTATGTCCTCACTACTTGAGCATGATAGATAGTAGATGTGATGTGATTATGAGGAGAGTAATGATTGGAAGTAATGTACCCGAGTGGATTACGATGTGCCTTGTTGTCCGTGTTGTGCTGTATCTCCATTGTGGTCTTCAGCGGCCAATAGTAACCACCCCTGATCTCCTCCAAGCAATACGCCACTGTCGTGGAGAGGCCGGTAGTGGAGTGCGGTGTATGCGTAAAGAGGGTATGCCGAGTCGCTCAAGTCTATGAGCACCTCGGGCTTCCAGGGGCATGTCCTGCCAAAAAGAGAAGACTGTCCTCCGACGCGATCTGACTCCATGCGCAGCAAGGGCGTCAGCTGTCTGATTCCCTTCTCGGAATTGATGCGTAATAGTTGTGATGCGTCCTCGACATCGCATGATGTCTGCCCAGATATTCTTGAGCCTCCAATGAGGACAAGAGTCTGCACGTAACATGTCCACTAACACTTTGGAATCAGATTCTAAGACAATGTTAGTAATATTTTGCTCCTCACAAAGAAACAAACCATCCCGTATTGCCATAGCCTCTGCCACAGTATTAGTTTGTATATTATAAAAGTTCGAAAAGGCAAAGAGAATGCATCCTGTACTATCGCGTAAGATACCGCCTCCTCCAGATGATCCTGGGTTGCCTTGAGATGCTCCGTCGACGTTGAGTTTCCACTGTCCAGCCCTCGGTGGTGTCCATCTAACAGATCGGACAGTAGTCCATGTCTGTGTAAGTATGATATGGAGTCCCCAAAGCCCAAAAGCCTCACAAACAGAACGCGAGCGTTTCGTTTTATTTGGCACTAAGGAATGAGTACTCCGAAGCCATTGTGTTACGTGCCTCATAATCTCTGTGGCACGCATCACTTGGCCTGCATATCGAGATGAGTTACGTCCCTTTCATATTTCCCATAACATATATGCTATGGAGATACGGATGAAAGGACAAACCTTGACACTCGTCGGTGAGTCAAAGACTCTCCTAAAGACCTCTAGTGGTGGTCTCGTAGGTCTGTACGAGAGCATTGGAAGCCAATTCGCTAGAAGTTGACGCCAACACTCGACAGCGATATCACTATGGAAAAATAAATGTTCCATACTTTCGTCTGTCGTGATGGAGCAACAATGACATTTCCTTTCCACCTCCTGATCGGTGACAATCACTCGATCGTCGGTGGGTAGTCCTCGGTGCATGAACTTCCACAGGAAGAACGAAACACGAGGTGTGATGGCCGGATGCCATATGAGATTTCCCCAAAATGTCTTTGGGGAGCGGTTTCTAAAGTGCTCCCAAGAGGAGCTACAAGAGAAACTGCCATCTATGGTAAGTGTCCAGATGGGTTGGTCCTCAGTAAAACTCATCTCAGTCATGGTGATGGCTGGTAACAAGTCCGACGGTAGTCCATGCCTCTCAATAAGTAGACGAGTGTCTCCTTGGAGAAGCTGGGCTACCGTCAAGCGAGGCCAAGAAGATGTGAAAGTGGTAAAACAGGCCAATGGTGTGTCCTCTAGCCAAGTGTCGTACCAGGCACTGATCTCGCCTCGCCCCACTCGCCAACGAATAAGAGGCACCATCTCCAACCAATGTCGCTGCCAGTCTGCCCATCGTTTGACTCCTTTGATGTCAGCCGGCTGTCGAGCCCACTCACCATATTTGGCTGACACAAAAGTACCTAGCACCGATGGTGTGGTCCTCATCCTCCAAATGAGTTTCTTTTGAAGCATGTTAAGTACATCTTGAGGGCGCCTAATACCTAGGCCACCCTCATCCGTAGGTCGACATGCTTTCTCCCAAGAAACTCGGCGTTGACGACGAGGTCCCTCAAGTTGTCCATCCCAAAGGAAGGACGTACATATCCGTCTAATAGACTGTAAGACGGTGTCTGGTACCTCATGGACTGCCAAAAGGTAATGGTATGCTCATGAGGACATGGCGTATCAACTGGATCCGTCCTCCAGGGGATAGAAGTTGTAACTTCCATCCTGCTAGTTTCTTCCTTAACTTGCCCACTAGGGCGTCAAAATAGTGTATGCGCCTACGGCCGAGGAAGATAGGACATCCTAGATAGTCAAAAGGTAAGTGTCCACGAGAGAACCCTGTTAGGCCCTGGATGCGTCGTATGGTCCCTATGGGAGTAGAAGGGGCTACTATGAAACTACTCTTCGAGGCATTTACGAGTTGACCTGCAGCTCGCTCATACCTCGAGATAATACTCATGAGCCCTCTAATGGATGTCTCACCTCCATTGAGGAAGAGTATCGCATCATCAGCAAAGAGGGAGTGTGAGATGATCGGGCAACCCCTCTTCGAGTAGTATGGTCGGATAAGTCCTTGATTGATCGCTCGGGTGAGGGATCGACTGAGGACTTCTTCAACTAAGATGAAGAGGGTGGGTGATAGTGGATCGCCCTGTCGTAGACCTCTCGTGGCCGTGAAGAATGGTGTGGAGCTACCGTTCACTAATAAAGAGAAATGATTCTCCCTAACACATGCATCGACTAAGTCAATGAAGTCGTCGGTGAACCCAAAGCATCTAAGAACATTAATGAGGAAACTCCACTCTATCCTATCAAAGGCCTTCTCCATGTCTAATTTGATGATGATGTTAGAGCCTCGACAATCATGGCCAAGGGACTGTGCTAGTTCATGTACTAGCATGATGTTATCGTGAATGTACCGTCCCTTGACAAATCCGCATTGTTCTGGAGATATAAGTCTATCAAAGAAACTACTCAATCTACGTGTAACGATCTTAGATACAACTTTATAACACACGTTACACAAACTGATACGTCGAAAGTCTCTAAATGAGGTTGGGGTAGTCACCTTCGGTATAAGTGCAAGGAAGGTGGCCTTCCAACTTCGTGTAAAGAGTTTACGACGAAAGATTTCCTTGATGGCCTGGATGAGATCAGTGCCAACGATATCCCAACATGAAATGTAAAAATCAGCTGGGAAACCATCTGGCCCGGGTGCACGATGTCTGCTCATAGAGAAAACTACTTCCTTGATCTCTTCTCCCGTGGGTATGGCTGTTATGAGAGAGTTCTCACGGTGAGTGACCAATGACGGGATCGAAGTGAGCATATCATCAGAAATCTCAATCGGCTGAGAGGTTAAGAGAGTACGAAAGTACTCAACCCCTGCCTCCTGCATGCGGGAAAGGTCATGATCATATGTCTCTAAAAGAGAGGTATAATCTGAACGTGAGCGATGAGCGACCGAGGCATGAAAGAAACGAGTGTTTCTATCACCCTCTTGTAACCACTGGATGCGTGATTTCTGGAGATAGAATAACTCCTGTCGTCGCACAACCTCATCAAGCTGGTCACTCACTCTACTCCTCCTTTCCCAAGCAGCATCTGAATATCTAGCTTGCAGTAGTCTTTCAACTTCTGCTAACTCTTTTTGCAATGCATCAACTTGGGTATGGACATTCCCATAGATATGTCGGTTCCACCATTTAAGGTGGAGTTTGAGATTCCTTAACCTATAGCTAAGGTTCTCCATAGGAGAATCTGAGATCTGTCCGTACCAGTGATTCCGTACGAAACTCTGAAAGTTTTCATGTTGGAGCCACATGGTTTGAAATCTGAAGGGGGGTCTGTGGGTGCTCATACTCTGTTTAGGGAGTATGAGGATCGGGGTGTGATCTGACCTATAACGGGGTAATATCGTGACTAATATGGGATGTCGCATCATGGCGATGCTGTTGATGAAACAACGATCGATACGCTCATAAATCAAAGCGTCCCCTCGATTGTTGCTCCACGTCCATGCCTCGCCTGATGTAGGTGGCTCAATAAGAGCTAATCGAAAAATACAGTCATTGAACATCTCCATGTTACGGGCCCTAGGGATTCGCCCACCTTGACGTTCACTAGTATTACGGACACAGTTGAAGTCACCTGCTAGGTACCAAGGAGACTCAACTAGTGTAGGGTAGTCCCTCACGTATTGAACTAGGTCCGCCCAAAGAGTTTCTCTTTCTTCGGATCTATGTGATGCATAGATGACCGAGAAGGTAAACTCTTGGGTGAGATCTCGAGCCGTCATAGTGATATGCTGGGGTCCCTCGACTAGCAACTCCATAGAGTATGGTCTAGTCCAAAAGATCCAAATATGATTCGTGGGGTTGGAGTGAAAATGATCCATACCTAACCTCCTAAGTAAGGGTTGGATACGATCTGATGATATCATAGGCTCAATGAGGCCTACTATACCTAGTCGATACTGTCTGATAAGGCTAGCTATATAGAATTGGGTTTCGAGGTTGCCTATACCTCGACAATTCCATATGATGCTAGGTATCATGATCTAGTGAGTGGCCCCACGAGTCCTAGATCTCGTGGAGTAAGGTGAGCGTCTAGTGAGTCGTGTGGTCCTAACCTCCGTCTGATATCCCTCCTCTGGGTAGGTAGTCTCAATGTCAGTCTCAGAGCTACCATCCTCATGGGTACTAGTCGTGTGGCCTGTAGTATCATGAGCACTAGATGAGGAGGATGGGTGTGGTGCTTGACGATTCGTTAAGCACTGTCCTCTATCGGGGCTCTCCCTAGAATCAGCGGGTGGTGGATCAAGTATAGGAAACTGATCTGACGGTTGTAATAGGGGAGAGGGGGGGAGGGTATAAGAATCAGAATGGGGGGCTATGTAAGATGTACTAATAGGAAGTATGCTGGGGGTAGACCCTCCTAATAGATCATCAACGGGGATTTGAGGCGGATGGATAGGGCCCAAGCCTATACCCTCAGAGAAAGGGGTAGACCTCGGTCGGTGGGGACTAAGAGGTGAAGGACTCCTTCTACGTGGGGACGAGTGAATGGGCGGGGAGGAGCTGGGTGGTGGAGAGACACTAATGGGTGGAGTGGGGTGGGTGAGTATGGGGGGTCGGATAACCCGGGGGGATCTAGTATGGGGGGTTGGACTAGGTGAGTCCCTCGTAGTGGAGGATGCTAGCCCTTTGGAAGGCCTAGTTCCCCTTTGTGCAGGTCCCTCAAAGTCTCTCTCATCTAAAGCCCCTAAGACCTCGAAGGTGTTTGAGGTTAGGGGTTGCTTTCCCTTGCTCAAAGGGGAAGGTGTAGCCTCTCGTGTTCCTTTCTTCCCCCCTGTGTAGGTGGAAGAAGGGCGTCCAGCTGCCGGCTTTCGCCGTGTATGCTGTGTCTCAATCAGTGAGCTAGGCTTCTCCTGTGCCTTCCGAGGTAAGGAAGGTGGAGCCGCCATAGGGGCAATCGACCTCTGAGGATGACGAGCACTCTGAGCATCCTTTCTCATTTCGACGAGGTAATCGTCATATGAGATCGGTACTAGAAAGGCTCGTGTGGTCGTCTGTGGTGTACATGCCTTCTGACGGCATGTGCTGACAGTGTGGCCCAAGATCGCACAGTGTGTGCAGAAATACGGTAGTCTCTCATAAATGATGGGCTGATAAAGTTCATCATCTCCACTACGTATAACGAGAGTCCTCTGGAGGGGAGCCATTAGGTCCACCTCTATACAAACTCGTGCATATCCGGGTCGGTTGAACATTTTTACGCCTGGATCAAGGCATATGAATGTTCCCACCGCATTTGCCAAAGACTCAAGTGCCTTTGGCGTAAATAAATGGGCAGGTAGGCCAGGGAAGCCCACCCATAATGGAACCACATGAGACTGATGTGCTTGGTGCCCTATGTCATTTTGTGGTGTCCATCTGTGGGTATGGAGGGTAGACTCCCCCATTCTCCAAGTGGGTCGGCTCCATGCTCGGCGATAATCCGCTTCTAGCTCAAAGCGGATGTATATGCTACGATAGTCTCGAGCTCCGATGGAGACTCGGCCCTGAAAATTTCCAGGTGCCATGTAAATCTTCTCTATGTCACCTATGGTTGGTCGTTTCGTAGTGAAACGACCAACTAAGGTATATTGGAATGCGGCTGCCATCTGGGAGACCTCCTCATAAGTAAAAGCTATTGTCCTCCTCCCATCATCATCGCTATAGCTTCGCACTGGGACAGTGGTATCATAGGTTGGGAATAGTACATGACGTAGCGGTTCCTGTGGTGTGACAGTCTCTGTGGAGGGGACAAAGGGGTTAGACACTCGTTGCGCCCATGATAGGTGTCTAGTGGGTATAGTCGGGTTTGGCCTATGGGGCACAGTAGAGTCTAGCCCACTAGGTGTAATAGTGTGCCCAATGGATGCGTTTGGGGTCAATATAGGTGTCTCAACTAGTGTTGGGATCCTAGTTGGTTCGATTTGTTGACTCGAGGTAGGCTTAGAGGACGTAGCCGAGGGGGGACGTAAAAGTCGGCGTCCTATCTTCTTTTTGGGCCGCAGGCTCTTGCCCCTTGCCTGGGCAAGAGATTGGACCGGTGCAGCCTGAGCCGGCTGTTCAGGCTTGGCCTGGGTCACCTGGGCTTGGGCCTGGGCCACCTGGGCCTGGGCCTGGGCCACCTGGGCCTGTGCCTGTACGTCCTGAGCCAGCGCAGCCTCGCTGGGCTGGGCCGGCATGACCTGGGCTAAAGCGACCTCAGGTGGCGCTACGTCCACCGTGTCTGACGTTGATGACGTCACCAGCGTCCCAGCCGAGGCATCGGCGATCGCAAAAAGTTGCGGCGCCTTTATGGCCACGTGATCCCCTCCGTTGATCTCAAGATCAACGGTTGGATCTGGTTCGGCGTTATGGCCGTGGCCGTCCGAGGGCGGTGCCTCGGTAACGGCTGTTGACGCCTTTATAGCCGGCTGATTCTGACCATTGATCATACGATCAATGGTTGGATCAGAGGGGGCCTCTTCGCCTGCCGTCGCCTCGTTCCCGAAGAGAGAGTGGACGGCGTCAACTGCTGTCCCCTCCGATTCGGGTCTCGGGAAGACGCCAGCTGATGGCGAATCACGGACGTCCGTGGTTCGACCGTTCAGCTCCTCGGTTACGGCCGTCTCCTCGGTTACATCAACCGGCGGAGAGAGAAGGCGAAGACAGGAGGCCGTTACTGCCACGTGTCGGCCTCCTGTTCGCTCGCATTCGTCGGGCGATTTTTCATCTGGGCGACGGAGGTCACCCGATGAAATCTGTGAACTACTCATCATCTAAGCATCAAATAAAAATGATATAGAAGAGAGAATGGTAAACGAGGCAAATAAGATTCTATTGAACAAAAAATAATGAAATTTCACCCAGTCAATAGAAAGATATTACCTTTGGAGTGAAAACTCCGGTAGTTTACCTTCGCGATGAGGAAATTGCGAAACAAAGGCTTTAATCCACCGTTTTCGATGCGTAAAAGCTCGAAACCGATAGCTGTCGGCCTTCCGAATCGAATGGAAAAGGTTTCAGCGCGATTTGAGGTCACACGAAGGAGATCTCACCATTTGCGCTGATCGTGAGGAGAGAGAAGCTCTCGCGAGGAGAGAGAAAAAAGTTGAGCAAATGGCGATACGCGGTGGGTTTAGGGTTTAGGGTTTAGGATTTAGGGTTTAGGGTTTAGGGTTTAGGGTTTAGGGTTTAGGGTTTAGGGTTTAGGGTTTAGGGTTTAGGGTTTAGGGTTTAGGGTTTAGGGTTTAGGGTTTAGGGTTTAGGGTTTAGGGTTTAGGGTTTAGGGTTTAGGGTTTAGGGTTTAGGGTTTAGGGTTTAGGGTTTAGGGTTTAGGGTTTAGGGTTTAGGGTTTAGGGTTTAGGGTTTAGGGTTTAGGGTTTAGGGTTTAGGGTTTAGGGTTTAGGGTTTAGGGTTTAGGGTTTAGGGTTTAGGGTTTTAGGGTTTAGGGTTTAGGGTTTAGGGTTTAGGGTTTAGGGTTTAGGGTTTAGGGTTTAGGGTTTAGGGTTTAGGGTTTAGGGTTTAGGGTTTAGGGTTTAGGGTTTAGGGTTTTGGGGTTTAGGGTTTAGGGTTTAGGGTTTAGGGTTTAGGGTTTAGGGTTTAGGGTTTAGGGTTTAGGGTTTAGGGTTTAGGGTTTAGGGTTTAG